GGCTGATGACCGGAACTGCGTGGCTTCGGGGTCGCGAATGATTTTCGCCCAGGTTTGCGGATGTCGAACTAAGGTCCCAGAGATTGTCAGTCGCTGGGGTGGCGAGTGAGGAGGCGATGGTCAAGCAGGCGTCAAACCCTACCCATGATCTCCTTCCGCCTCCATTGCTCAGAGGGAGAAACCCCCTCCGGGAGGTGCAGACTCTCTGTCCGCTCCACCCCTCCCCCCGCGCTTCCCGTGGGGCCGGACGCTGCCCAGCAGCTTGGGGTGAACGTGCCTCATGTCACATTTGCAAGCGATAGAAAGTTGATGACTAATTTGGTTGCAGGGACAAGATGCTCGCTCATCTGGGCGACTTCAGCTAGACCCCGCTCTAGGCCAGTTGCCCCGCTTAACTGCCGGGGCCCGGGAGAAACTGGCTCTTAAAGCTGGGCGCCTCAGTTTCCTCCGGGTCCGTCACAGGAGCGGGCGTGGCCCGGGACAGGGGCGCCGGTGCAGGCTACTGTTTGTTATTTTCCTCCACGCTTGGGCGGAGCCACGCCCCCTGCCTCGCCATTGGGGCAGGCCGCCAAGGGGGTGGGGCCTGTGGCTCGCCCCGCCCCTCCGCCCTCGTCGTATAAAAGCGCAGCCAGCGCGCCGCCCTGACAGTCGCTTGCTACTTCTCCCAGTGCGCCTGCGCACGCCGGGCGGGCTCGCGCTCCGAAGCGTCTGCTTCCGCGGTTTGTGGTGCCACTGCGTCGTGAGTTCGAAGCCGGGGTCCGAGCGAATCGGGTTCACGTCCCCGGCGCGATGCTGTTCGACAAGGTGAAGGCGTTCGTGGTGCAGCTGGACGGGGCGAGCGGGGGCGCGGAGCCAGTGTTCAGCGGCGGCCAGGCCGTGGCCGGCCGGGTACTGCTGGAGCTGTCCGGCGCGGCGCGCGTGGGTGCCCTGAGGTTGCACGCGCGGGGCCGCGCTCACGTGCACTGGACCGAGTCGCGCAGCACAGGCTCGAGCACCGCGTATACGCAGAGTTACCGCGAGCGGTTGGAGGTGGTGAACCACCTGGTCACGCTTCTCGCTCCAGGTATGGCCAGGGACGCCAGGGCTGTGCGCTGCCCCCCTGAGGGTGGCACCTCCGCGCAGCGCCTGAGCCTCACTTTGCTCCTGCCCACAGACACTGGAGAGACCACCACTCTGCCTCCCGGGCGTCATGAGTTCCCCTTCAGCTTCCAGCTGCCCCCGTAAGTCCTCCGTGCGCCCCTTTCCAGGTGTGGGGTGTCCAGGGAACCCCGGAGAGTGTCTCTTGAGTGCCTTACGCTCCGGTCCCCAGATCCCGCCGTGTGTTTCTGTACCTCGCCCCCTGAGACCCTCTCCCCTCGACTCTCAGGACCCTGGTGACGTCATTCGAGGGTAGACACGGCAGCGTCCGCTACAGCGTCAAGGCCACCTTACACCGGCCCTGGGCGCCGGTGCGCCGGGCCAGGAAGGTGTTCGTTGTCATTGAGCCGGTGGACATCAACACCCCGGCCCTGCTGGTGTGTACTGAGATGGGGTGCTGCAGGCAGGGACTTGGCCGCTGGGGGACCCTGGCAGGCTCCTCACCCACACACCCCCTGCACAAATTGGGAGGGGTGGGGTAACAGTAGAGCAAGGAACACAGGCAAAGGAGTCCAGGGATAGACACCACCGGGTGCAGATCCCATCTCTGCACCCATTTGCTGTCTCCTTCTGAGCACGTGCCTCACCCTCTCTGAGCCTCTCCCCCCCATCTGCATCTGCAAAACAAGCTGCTAACCACAATGATGGCTTGTTGTGAGTTGCCGGGGGAGTGGGGGGTGTTCTGATTCATGGCGGCAACGCTTGTGTGGATAACAGAACTGTTTCAGAGGGTTTTCAGTGTCTTTGACCTTTCGGAAGCTTAACCGTTGGAGACACACAGCTTCCAAGATCCGCTTACGGACTCCGCTAATGCATTAAGCATTTGACTTGTGTGTCTCCTTTTCTGTCTCATAAGGTAAACTGTTCCTGGGACCAGGTCTAAACGCCTGCGCCCAAATGCTAACCTACAGGTTAGCCATTCGAGGCCAGCAGCAGCACTTTGGGAGAAACTCCCTCCCTGCCCTCCGATGAGTCCGCCTCTTAGCGACCCTCTAGGACAAGGTAGAAGTGCCCCTGGGGGTTTCCAAGGCTCACTCTGTGGAAGTGAGAAGGCTCCTCCTCTCTCCCAGGCAGCAGCTGGTGGTTTCAAACTGCTAGACTTTGCGGTGAGCAGCCCCTCATCTAGTCTACCATATCACCAGCGCTCACTACGGAAGAAAGGGCTGGCTAGCTGCTTCCATTAAGATTACAGCATCGATGACTGTGCGGAGGTGTTTTATTCTGTCACACGCAAGGTTGCCAAGGGATAGCTAAGCAAAACAAACAAAACTGGGCTCCCCTCCCCGAGGTCTTCCTTCAGTAGTGGCAGTTTGGGGGCCTGCGCCTTGGCACCGAGTAACCTGTTCGTATCCTTCCCCTCTGCCCCGGCAGGCACCTCAGGCAGGCACCCGGGAGAAGTTTGCCCGGACCTGGTACTGTAACCGGGGCCTCGTCTCCTTCTCGGCTAAGATTGACCGGAAGGGCTACACGCCAGGTAGCTAGCTGGGCCACAGGTGGGAAGGCAGGGTGAGAAAGAGGGCCAGGGTTGGGAGGTGGTTGGGGGAGACTGAGGCCCCCCATTCCCCTCTGCAGGCGAGCTGATCCCCATCTTTGCGGAGATCGACAACGGCACGACGCGCCCCGTGCTCCCGAGAGCGGCTGTGATCCAGATGCAGACCTTCATGGCCAGAGGCGCCCGCAAGCAGAAGCGGGCGGTAGTGGCCAGCCTGGTGGGCGAGCCGGTGGGCCCAGGGCGACGGGCTGTGTGGCAGGGCCGGGCACTGCGCATCCCTCCGGTGGGCCCCTCCATCCTGCACTGCCGCGTGCTGCGTGTGGACTACGTCCTCAAGGTAGTGCATTTTGCTAGCTGTGGCAGCAGGGGGCTGTGTACACTGTCCCCAGAATGGGGTTCCCTGAGGGCAGACCTGAGGCCTTAGTCTCCCCAGGTACAGGAAAGGGGGGGTGTCAGGACCTCGTTGCTCTGTACAAGGAGGGGAGCAGATGTGCTGGACAACTTCTGTTATAGCTCACTCCCGGGTCTGTGTTGCGTCTGCCTCTAGACTAGGGCCCTCCAGGGTGGACCTGGGGTGTGGGCCTCCCCGGGCACAGGGGTAATGGAGGGGACAGGCTATCTGGACACTCTCCATGGCGGCGGCTCTCTCCCAGGTCTGTGTGGACATCCCGGGCACATCCAAGCTGCTCCTGGAGCTGCCGCTGGTCATTGGCACCGTGCCCCTACATCCCTTTGGCAGCCGTTCATCCAGCGTGGGTAGCCACGCCAGCTTCCTAATGGACTGGGGGCTTGGTGCCCTGCCGGAGCAGCCAGAGGGTAAGTGCCAAGTCTCGTGCGGGGGGGAGGGGGGAGGGGGAGGGGTAGAGGGGTCAGGTCACCCCTCCCAGGCTCCCTCCCTCCAGTGGCCATAGTGACAATCACAAGTATCCCCTGCCTGAGGGTACCAGAGTGGCTATTTGTCCTGGCTCCCTAATGCTCCTTCCCCCTCGACCACCCTTTCTCCTGTTCCCAGCCCCTCCTGAGTACTCAGAGGTGGTGGCAGATGAGGACGCGGCCAGTGTGGGGCAGAACCCCTTCCCGCGCCTACCAGAGCTCAACCTAGGCCTCGAGGGCCCCTTCTTTACCTACATCCAGGAGTTCCGCTACCGCCCACCGCCCATCTACTCCGAGGTGAGCCTGGGGGCCATGGGGTGGGAGATGGAGGAGACAGGTTCTAAATATTAATGGGAGAACTCCTATGCATACCTCAGTACCCAGACTCCTGAGTCTGCCTTAAGTATTGCCCTGTGGTTGCCTCTTCCCAGGACAAGTGTGGGAGTTGAGAAAGGGGTATTTTAGCTGAGGCTCTGGCGTATGAATAGGAGTTCAACCAACAGGCAGAGAAGGTCAGAGTTGGGAGGTTTGTGGGGCAAGGAGGGGGGTGCCTGTGTGCATGTGGTTTTCCCCAAGGCCTGACGGGAACTTCTCACACAGGAGGACCCTCACCCACCTATGGCAGTTGTCAGACCCCGCTGCATGACGTGTTGAGCAATGGACACCTTGTGGGACAAACAGCTGCCCACTGCTCTGGCCACTGCTGACATGGCGACAGCTGGAGCAAGGGCCGAGCCAGCTTGATTGCGCTGAAGCTGGGGAGACGGAGTCTCGGCCTTACATGGGGCAGAGGAAGAGCTCGACTGGATCCAACATCCAGAATGGCGGTCCTCGGGAGGCATCAGATGTCAAGTGTAGGATCCAAATGACAGTTTGATGTGCCTGTACCCCACCCTATGAGCACTGCTGGGATCCTCAGAAAGCCTCCAATCTGAGAGGGTATCCTAAAGGTGGACCAGGGATCCAGGCACAGAGTCTCCAACCACACGGGACCAGAGGACAGGACCCAAAGCTAGGGAGTCCAGAGGAGAGTCAGAGAAGGCTTCTTGGCGGAAAGGGCATTTTAGCTGAGGCTTTGGTGTATGAACAGGAGCCCAATAGACACGTGGAAAGAGTAGCAGTAGCAAAAGGTCAGAGTGGCGTGAAGTTTGGAGCCCGGTCCCTTTGTTTTAGGAGAGAACTGGGGGCTCAGAGGCCCTTGCCTTCGTTGGGGTCACAAAGCAAGGTGTGGCTGGAGAGAGGACCAAGAGTGAGGTATTCAGGGTTGCAGGTTGTTGGAGCAATGTGGTCACTGTAAGTGGCATGATCGCCAGTTCTATGGCTGCCCCACGGCTCATCCGAGCACCCCGTATGCAAGGGCCACCTGGGCCGGAAGCTGAGCTGCAGGGAGCGACAGGACTTGCACAATGTGCATCCAGAGCCCGCCCCCCGGCTAAACGTGGAGAATCTCAAGTAAGGGGCCACGGAGCATGGACTCTGGCACAGGGCCTCGGGGGGCTGCTCAGGCCACACAGCGTGGATGACCCCTGTGCCTTAATGATACAAAGTGTGAAGGGGCAGCTGGTTCAAGCCCCCAACTGCCGAGTCCTGGTCCTGGCTGGGGCAGGGCCTCTGCCTGGGACTCGGCGCATTTCTGTTAAGCCTTAAAAAGTGTATCCTTTTGTACTTTTAAAATAAAAATGTGGAGAAAGGAGATGGTGTTCCTGGGTGTTTTTTCCCCCCTCAAACTTCTGAGGGAGTTTAGATGGCATTGACTGCCAGTCCAGTCCCTCTTGCCTCACTAACTTGGGAACAGAATTCCAGGGCCGCTGTTTCTAAGGGGAAACTGAGGCTCGGGGCAGGGAGGTTCCTGGGCCCCTGAGCACTGGATGAGACCTGCTGGATCTCACTACACCTGCTGCCCACCAGCGGCGGGAGCAGGCCCAGACCTGGGAGAGGGATGGTGAAGGACTGATGGAGATTTCACCTGTGCTGTTGCGTGCCCTGGAGTCAGTTTTGATCCATCATGACTGGACGGACAAAAGGACAAAGCGCTTCCTGGTCCTTCACCCCCTGCACAACAGTTCCTGTGCTGGAGCCCAGCGTGGCAGCCACTGTGTCCGTCCACTTCCTTGAGGGCCCATCCTCTTGCTTGCTGCCTCTCCACTTGACCAAACAGATGCCCTTCTCCAGGGACTGGTCTCTCCTGACAACATGTCCAAAGCACGTCATGAGACAAGTCTCGCCAGCCTTGCCTCCCAGGAGCACTCTGGCTGGACTTTTCTTTTCTGAAATCATTTTATTGGGGGCTCGTACAACTCTGATCATAATCCATCCGTCCATCCATTGTGTCAAGCACATTCATACATTTGTTGCCATCATCATTCTCAAAACATTTGCTTTCTACTTGAGGCCATGGTATCAGCTCCTCATTTTCTCCTCCCTCCCTCCCAAACCCTTGGTAATTTATAAATTATTATTTTTTCATGTCTTAAACTGACCAGTTTTCCATCACCCACTTTTCTGTTGTCTGTCCCCCGGGGAGGGGGTTATATGTGTAGTATTAAATTTAAAAAAATAATGACGCAGAGGGAGGTGGGGGGCCGGCCCCCACCCACTGCTTGAACTCACTGGTTCAGTAATACTACTTCTGGGTTCAATAATAATGCACAATTGTACGGTTGAGATATATAAGCATTATATTAAAGTCATTGAGAGCATGAGAGATAATACAATAATACAGTCAGGCATGTTACATAATACCGTTGCTCACCTCAGCCCAGCTTGGTGGTCCACATGGAGAGAGGAGGAAGGGAAGGAGGGGAAGGGAACAAGGGAGTGGGGAGTGACCAGGGAGTGAGCAGCAAGGAGCTCAGAGTCAGAGAGAGCTATATTGCTAGCTCACACCTATATACCTTTTGGGGGCATGCCAGCCCACTAATTACAGGTAGAGATATACGTCACAGGAAGGGGCTGCACTATAGGTTACACAGCAATGAGAGGGTGGTCTCTGGGTCTCCATAGGAACCATTATCAGTAGGGTCCAAACTCCGCCTACAGGAGCCTGTCCATTGTCCCCAGAGGCAGGGAGCAGGCCCACCCCTGTGGTGGGATGAGAGAGCAGTCTGGCAGCAAGTATCTGACTTCCCCCCACATATATGTAGATTATTGTGATCACTTCCCCCTTTCTCCCCCACCTTCCCCTTCCCCTCCTGGTAACGATAATCTCATGATTGGACCCGAGGAGTTCATCTGTCCTGGATTCCCTGTTTCCAGCTCTTATCTGTACCAGTGTGCATCCTCTGGTCTAGCTGGATTTGTAAGGTAGAATTAGGATCATGATAGTGGGGATAGAACTGGAGAAAAGGTATATGTTTGATCATTGCTACACTGTCCCCTAACTGGCTCATCTCCCCACGACCCTTCTGTAAGGGAATGTCCAGTTGCCTACAGATGGCCTCTGGGTCTCCACTCCACACTCCCCCTCATTCACACTGATAAGATTTTTTTGTTCTTTGATGCCTGATATCTGATCCTATTGACACCTGGTGGTCACACGGGCTGGTGTGCTTCTTGTCTAAGGTGACCAGATTTGAACATTGGTAAAGAGGGACACCATTGATAAAACTCATATCCTGGCGAAATAGCCACACAGCAGCCGAAAACTGTATACCCTAGCTTGTCGTGCATTCTTTCCAAAAATCGGGACTTTTTAAAAATGTCGCGGGACATGGGAAAAATTGTTAAAAATCGGAACATCTGGTCACCTTATTCTTGTGGGTTTTGTTGCTTTTCAGCTAGATGGCTGCTTGTTTAGCTTCAAGCCTTTAGCTTTAAGACCCCAGACGCTATGTCTTTTGATAGCGGGGCACCATTCGTTTTCTTCACCACATTTGCTTATGCACCCGCTTTGTCTTCAGCGATCGCGCCAGGAAGGTGAGCATCATGGAATGCCAGCTTAATAGAACAAAAGTGATCAAGATGAGTTTTGGGGGGGTTTTGTTTCTTTTAGCAGTCCATGGTACCTCATCTATGGACCTGGAAGTAGGGTGGACAAGGGATTTCCAGGTAGATAAGTGTCTCTACTTAGCCAGAGTCAGTCCCTGGAACTTAAAAAGTTGTGGTTTTGAAGGTGCGGAATTCAGAGTGACAGTAACGTAAAACTCATCATTTCAAAGGGAACGATTCGGGGGAGCATTTAGCATATTCACAATGTTGTGCAGTCACCACCTAATTTAGTTCCCTGACATTCGCATCACCCCAAGGAAAATTCAGATCCACTAAGCGACCCTCCCTTCCTCAAAGCCCTCTACTAATATCCCTTCTGTCTAAGGATTTGCCTGTTTGGGACATTTTATCTAAGTGGAATCTATCCACAGCATGTCCCTTTTGTGTCTGACTTCTTTCTCTGAGCAGGTTTCAGAGATTTGTCCCTGGGTATCAGAGCTTCCTTCCTCTTTCTGGCTGAATAATATTCTATTGCGTGGATTAGCCGTGTTTAGTTTATCCATTCATGTGCTGATGGACGGCTGGGTGTTTCCACCCTTGGGCGTGAGCTACCGGACAATGAAGAGCAAGCTTCAGAGTCTCTTCTGGCACCCATGTGGATCTCCTTCTTCCTTTCCTGTCTTTTTAATGACCTTTTGCTTCCTTCACGAGTCATGGTCTCGATGTCCTTCCTCAGCTCATCTGTCCTTACCGCTCAGTGCATCAACTCTGGTCTCGAAATTCTGGTGGGACAGACTCAAGGTCACAGGTTGGCTCCTGTGGACTTGTTTTAATTCTCTTCAGCTCTGTCCTTAGCTGACACACAAGCAATTGTATGTTCCGCAGTCTGCTTTGAGCTGCTGGCAATGAGCTTCTCCACTGTGTCTTCCCACAGACGCAGCCCCTTGGATTTCCGTGTCTTCCCTCTGGGGAAGGAAGTCCGTGTGTCTGTCCTCTGGCGTTGCTGAACAGGGGCGCTTGTCAGGAATGAGTCATTGGTTTGGCAAAATTCCACGATGCGATCGCAGGCTTCATTTCGATCACCACATCCATATTTCCCAACTCCTGTTGCTGCTTCGTTTCCAACGTTTGTATTCCAATTACCAATAACTATGAATGCATTTGATTGCGTGTTTGATCAATTTCTGACTGAAGTCCTTGGTAAAACGCTTCCATTTCTTCACCACAAGCTTTGGTGGTTGATGCATGAAGTTGAAGAATAATTGTATTGACTGAAGTTCCTCGAGGGCAGATCGATATACTTGGTCACAAGTAGGTGTGTACTCCATGGATGGATTTAGAAAGTTTCTTTCAGACAATGAGAGCCACGCCACTCCTGTTGATTGTCTTGTCACCCGCACAGTAAATCATGAACTTCTGATTAAAAATGGCCGATACCAGTCCATTTCCGCTCACTAATTAGGATATAGATCTCCATGCATTGTTTCATTTTGACCGCAGGCAGTTTTCTTAAATGTACATTTTGCACATTCCAAGTCCCAATCACTAGAGGATTTCTGCGGCTGTTTCTCCTTACATTGAGTCCTGCCCCGTCAGCAAATGAAGGCTCCCCTCCCACAGGCTTTCCCAGACTCTTGTCACCCTGGGCGACTCCCCTCCAAGAAATCACCTGCTTTTCTGCCACATTTCAAGTCCCCTCAGTCCTGAGCAGCCCATCTGCCTGCTGGATCTCCCACAGTCTTCTCCCTCCCTTCTTAGGCTTTCAGGTTTTGAAAATGCTTTGACGCTCTGCATAAGGTTTTCAGCGGCTTTGTCCTCCAAAGTGGGGCGCCGAGTCCTTCTCCATTGTCTGTCAATAGTCTGGACGCTGCGCTGAAGCCTGTTCACTTGGAGTGGCCCTCCTCTGATTGGAAACACCAGGGACGTCGCTTCCAGCATCACAGCCACACACGCGCCACCACGTCGAGTAGCTAAAGCACACAGAAGAACGGATGAAGTCAAGGAGCTGAATAGAAGGACGACTCAATAAGACAAGGCCAAATATTGAAAGGAAATGTGCAAGGACTGCACGTCTGGCTCGACCAGAGGACGCGCACTGGT